ACCCCCAGGATCAGAGAACTATTTGTTATTTATCACTGCCAGCAAACTTCTCACATACCATATAGTTTTCTAAAATAAAGCTTAAAACCATCTATTTTCTCAAAATGGATTGTTTTCTCTCCCAATTCCCAGAGTAAGGAATTCTATATCCCATTGCATTTACCACAAATCACAGGCTCCCTTAGTATAAAAATGATTATGGCTCACAGTAATGTAAAACTTTCACTGGCAATCTCTCAGTTTGAACCACAAATGGAAATTTGAACCTGCACTGGAAAAATAATTTCAGTTTCTTCTTGTGTAAATACACTACAGCTTTAGATTTTGTGGAAAAATTATCAGAGATTTTTTTTTTTTTGGTTGGGGGTTCATACATGTAGAGTGGAAATAATCTTTATATTCAGATTTGTACAATACGTAGCACAGCATCACCTACCTCACAGCCTAAAAACGTTACAGCAATGCAAGAAACAAACACCAAGCCATACACACTGCCAGCAAACTTCTCACATACCATATAGTTTTCTAAAATAAAGCTTAAAACCATCTATTTTCTCAAAATGGATTGTTTTCTCTCCCAATTCCCAGAGTAAGGAATTCTATATCCCATTGCATTTACCACAAATCACAGGCTCCCTTAGTACAAAAATGATTATGGCTCACAGTAATGCAAAACTTTCACTGGCAATCTCTCAGTTTGAACCACAAATGGAAATTTGAACCTGCACTGGAAAAATAATTTCAGTTTCTTCTTGTGTAAATACACTACAGCTTTAGATTTTGTGGAAAAATTATCAGAGATTTTTTTTTTTTTTTTGGTTGGGGGTTTATACATGTAGAGTGGAAATAATCTTTATATTCAGATTTGTACAATATGTAGCACAGCATCACCTCACAGCTTAAAAACGTTACAGCAATGCAAGAAACAAACACCATACGTCCCTATGGAAAATTCAGTGTATCCAGCACCTCACCTGGCTGGAGGGGAGATAGCCTGAACTGGAAGCCCTGCAGGAGCATCAGGAGAGGACTGCACTTTGTCTAGCAAGCCCAAGATGCTGCAGCCAGGGGCTCACATCCCACTGGCTCAGAGCCTGGCAGAAAACTGTGGGAGCACTCACAGAAAACTGTGGGAGTGCTCACAGATGTTCAGAGTAGCACTGTGGCCACATTCCACAGGGAAAAGCAAGGCACAACTTCCCAAGGATAGTCTGGGACTCATTCTCTGAACCTCAGAGAAAGGAAAAACAGTTCTTCTCTCATTTGCTGCACCTGTGTTTGTTCACAGGTGGAATGCATCGTGGAAGATTGTTCACCTGAAGGGAATTGGTGATTGGATTCTGGTGTGTTTTCATTCAGTGACCAACCGGATCCAGGTGTGTTTGTGTGTTTTGGGAATGTCAGCTGTCAGTCATGCGATTCTGTGCAGTGGAGTGCTTGGCAGATCCAGTTTAGATGTAATGTAATATAGTATAGAATAATACAGTATAATGAAGTAATTAATTAGCCTTCTGGTAAGATGAAGTCCTCCTCATCATTCCTCCCAGACATTAGGGGAAAATGTCACCAATATAGCACAAGCACGGGAATTCAAGAGCTAAAACATTTCTCCTTCTGCCACCAGAAGCCTTCCCATGAGCAACTCAATCCAGGTCCACCTGTAAGCTACAGCTACTCCACTCTGCCTCGGTGTGGCAAAGCAGCCAGCATTCCCTAGAAACTCCCCAGAAAGCCTGCACCACTTGGGCACACTAAGCAGGCTGGTAAAAAGTAAAACAAAAGAACTTTGCACCATGACAATGCCAGTTTCTCCAGAGGTTCAGATCACAAACTCAGACAAACATTACAGGAGTAGCTAATACCTTTCTGAAGTGCTCCATGTATCAGTCTCAAAGGGAAAACAAAGAAAAAGCCCAAGACAAAAGGCTACATTAAATCATCTTTTGGGATATGAGAGAAATAAAAGGCGCAACAGACACCTTCAGTTTCTTAACATCAAATGTCAGGGATTCCAAGTCAGAACTCACACATTAAAAGAAACCAAATCAGAGTTACATATGGAAACAGACTGCTGCATTCTCCAAACAACATTCATTCTGTCTTGTGACAGCACAATGAGCAGAATGAATGCATTAAAGGAGCTACCAGATTTTTAGCCATAAAAATTAAGTGCCTTCAACATAATTGTGTGCTGTTTCATGGAATTATTGGGTGCAAGTGTAAAAACAAAATCAGATATGTGCATTTCTTGATCCAACTTCCCAAAAATTCATTCAGTGGCACTAAGGATGACTGCTCCCCATGACTGGTGTGATATCCTCTCACAGAGATCCAGTGCTGGCTATAGACAAAAACTGAAACTTAGCTGTGGCCACAAATCACCATCTGCTATTTAAACATTTATAAATGCATACAGCAGTTGAGGGAGTGAAGATGATTTCACTCACGTGGAAGGAGCTTGGCAGATAAATCCTGGAGATCTGGCACTTTCTGCAATACAGGAAACTGCAGCATAATCACTGTTTCCTTCAATGGTTCTCAGCTGTTCCAAGATCACTGCTCACAAGCCAACTCTAAATGCCACACATTAAATGTAAACACAGACCTGCCAGGATGAGACTTTTAACTGCAGAACTGAGTCAAATTAAGGTAGCTCAGTGGCAGTCAGGATGGAGGAAATGCCAATTCTGACCTGCTGCTTTTAAAAGCATGAGAACAGAGAACAGGCAGCAGTCAGAGGGGCTCAGTGCCAGAAACTCTGCTAACATTCATGCCTTCCCTCCCAGGGAACAGGGACTTTCTGACTCCACCTTTCAAAGCCAGGCAGAAACTGCAGCACAACTCAAAAGCAGCTCAGCCCACCTAAAAATAAAAAGCTCAGCACTGCATTCTGAGCAGAAACGTCTTCAGAGGGCTAAGCTGGCATTCAAATGTTGGCCGTGACCCACTGTGAACAATATGTTTTATGTAAGCTTTAACCAAAACCATACCCTGTTTTCTGCACTCCCACAATCTTGGATTGCTTAGGTCACTGGCACAAAATTGCAGCTTTGCTCAGCACAATCAGCCCCATGGGTCAGCTTGATTCCTTTGAAATATTATTAGCTATAGTTTCTGAAATTGTAACCCCGTAACTGTCTTCCACAAAAATGTTTGAGAAGCTCCCTAGAATGAATCCAGGCTATTTTATTTTCATTTTCTGCTGCTGGTTTTGTCTTCATTTATTACGTTTTTCCTTCTTAATTTTACTGTGAAGTTAGAGAGACTGAAAAATAATTATTATAATGCACAATACTACAACCAGGACCTATGTTCTCACCTTAACTTTCAAACACACACTTCCCACAGTACAGCAATTTCTAGAAATCTCTACATTTCTAGAAAATCTCAGCTCACCTTCAGAAACAGAGCCATAAGGCAGGAATGAAGTCTCACAAATTAGACTTCAGCCTGAGCCAGCTGCTTTCCCCTAGCATTATTCCCTTTATGACCATCTGTCCCACCTGCTAATGTGTTTTTCCCCTCACCCAGCCTCTCCCCTAAAATGATTTGCCATTCTGCCTGACACACAAATATCAGAGCAAAGGAACCTGGACTAAATCCAGCTTTGTGCCACCCGGTATTTGGAGCTTTGGGTAAGGCACCTGCTTGACTGCTGGTACAATTCAATCTGCCTTAAGCCTGGTTTAGTTTATGCCAAGCTCACCTGTGACCCAAACACAAGTTTGTTGTCACTGTCTTCCTTCTGCACTGCCTCAATCAGTGAAAGTTTGCTTCAGTTACACAAGGATCTCCTCTTGCACAGCAATTCTTGTTTGCAAATACCCCAGTACACTCTGCTGGATGAATCTACTGAGATCTGTCTGTTTATTGAAGGTGAATCCACAAAACAGCCCCTGCACTCCACACGTGTGATTTCTTGTGGTTTCAAAACTGGCTGCATGCCTGGCTTTGTCAGCATTTTTCAATCAGACATTCTAGCTGAAAAGTCACCCTGAATTTTCCTCCTTGGGCAGAATTGCCAGGGAGGCACAACACGAAGAAACGAGGAAGAGAAGAACTGGGAAGGGCTGAGAATGAGGAAATAGAAATTAAATGGCATGCTGCTACATGGTGAAATTCTGAAATTCTCTCAAGAATTCCTTGCTGTTTTCAATGAGACCAACATCAGAATAAACCTTATCAAAGATATTATATCTGTATGTTATATTGATACAAGATACTAAGATATAGCAAGATATATAATATATAATACATTATCAAATATTTATTGCAGCATTAATTTTTCACATCTGTTTAGAGCCTGACAATTGAAGGGGAAATAATCACTCAAGCATAGTTCAGAAGACTGCACAGCTGTGGCACTGCCCAAAAAAGTCAGGAAGAACACAACACTTAAAAACACATCATTTTAATTTCATCTCATGTACTGCTGACAATAGTCAGAAAGAACAGGAAGGGAACTGCTAAAAAAAACATTAATTTTTCGGAGTACTACTTTTATATTTCTGCAAAATATAGATAAGGCTTTTTTAAAGACTGCAAATCAGGGATTAAGAGAGAAAAAGAATTACAGATGTGTGACAAAGAATAAAGGCAAAAGATGCAGAAAAGGCAGGAAAAAGGAAATTAGGACAGATGTGGAATTCAAAGGAGCACAAGCTGACAGGCTCTGCACTCTCAACAGAAAACTGGAAGCTGACATCTGTACCCATACAGTTTTTAAAATGAGCTCTTAGTTACTAGCACTGCATTCAGGAAGGAGGCAAAGAATGGTATCTTAACTGAGCTCATTTCTAGGCATAAGATGAAAATAAAAAGAGAGGGATGCAATTTCATGTCAGCTCCTGGCAGCTGCTCAGCATTCCTGACTCTCACAGCCCTGTTTGTTGTGGAGTGCTGATAATGTTCCCAAGCTGCAGTGCTCTGGAGCCCTTCTGTGATCCTTAGTTTGGAACCCAATGGAAAAAAACCTTCTCCTGAAGGCCATTGGCACGTACCTTGAAAGATTCAGTCATCTGCTTTCCTGTTTCACCCGTGTACTCATTCTGGCAGCCCTAGGAAAAACAAAACCAGAGCAAATGAAATCCACTGCATGCTGCAGGAAAGGTGATACACATCCAGTTCATTCATTCAGGGACAGACTGTGTTGAACCAGCAGACTCTGACATCAGTAAATACATTACCAAGAACTTTGTGGTGAGTTCTTAGCACAACTTTCCATCCTCTGGGCTCTCAGTTTTACTTCAGCTGCTTTATTTTGTGCAGCTGCATGTCAGGGCTTCAGATGTGTAACATAAAAACACACACATAACATCCTAGATTAGATTACCACTCTGTAGTGTAGAGGGGTATGGGCAACATCACAAGTTTTTCATTCTGAATAAATAAATGGGGTTTTTACTCAAGTTTCTCTACTGAAGTATCTAAGCAGTTTGCTTTTGCCTTTTTAAGAGAGAGTTGAGTAGGCAGAATGGAAGAAAAAATTAAAAATTGGTTTTGTTAAATCCTTCATTAAGCAAAGAGAGTAATAAGGAATTATTCACCTATATGAATAAATAATGAGATTATTTTGGATTTTCTACAATGTTGAACTTCAGGCTTCTGCAAAGGAACTGGGAGGGGAAAGAAGACCAAAAAAAAAAAAAAAAAAAAAAGAGTGGCAGCTCCAGTCATCCTTCTGTTCAACAACAGAGGGGTAACAGACAGGGGGAAGCCATCTACCTCAAAACAAGATTCCCAGTTCCCACAGCATCACCTTAGCATCTCTGCAGACCCTCCTGCAGCCCCTGCACCTCCCCTGCCAGTTACACCCACCAGCACAGAACAAAGGAGACAAAGACAGCCCCAGCAGGGCTCCTGCTTCCCAGCAGCCTTCAGGAAGGAGCTGAGAAGGTGAAGTGGGTGCAGAGGCTTGGGAGAGGGAAGAAGGACCAGGAGCAAGAGGCTGGGGTGATGGGCCAGGAAAGAGGATGGCTTCAGGGAGCACAGCTGGAAGGATGGAGAGGACTTGGTGCTGCATCTCAGCTGGGAGCTCCCAGTCCAGATGGGAAAGCCCCAGATCAAAGGTACGACCCCCTGGTGAAAAGAAGCAGAGGAAACCTTTCGTGGTCAGCCTGTGAGATCCCAGCTCCTCACAGGGAGCAGCCCTCGCTCCCCAGGGAGGGCTGGTGCAGGTGGACAGCAGGGTCAGGGACAGCAGCCACCAAAACGTGGGGCAAGGCTGGCACCACATGGATCACAGGTAACACACAGGGCAAATAACATGATTCTTTTCCCTTTTTGCAGATCTTGGGAATATAGTAAACAGACCAAAAAAAAAAAAAGAAAAAAAAAGAAGCAGTCTTTTCAGTGGACCTTCCACAGATCACAGCCTTGCTACCACAAAAAGTAAAAGGCAAACTTCCAGCCACAGCAGATCTCACTTCCTCTCCCCTTCCCCCCAGGGAGCCCCCCACATCCCTCCTGCTGCCTCTTCTCAGCTTTAACCCTTCTGTTCCTCTTTTTTTTTTAGTAGCTCTCTACAGCAAGGCAGGCAATCGTGGCTGCAGGACCCTCCCTATGCACTAAAAGAGAATGTACCAAGAGAGATCATAAATCTCCTTACAATATCCTTCATTAGAAATATGTTTTATTTGCCTTAAAGCTGAGGGTTTTCTACTCCAGCAAGACAAGACTTTGGCAGAGTGGCAGACCCAAGCAGGACTAAAGTGTTACCCAAAGCCAAGGACACTGTACAATAACAGCTCCTTGCTTTACCTGTTATTTTTCAAACACTTCCAAACCCAGTGGTAAAATCCTAGAAAGCCTTCCTGACACCACCAGCTGACAGCAGTGAAGAATTCCACAGATGGATGGAGGCAGCTGATTTTTCTCTGCACTGCAATGAATTAGGATGGAGAGCGTGCTGGTTACCAGCTAACAGGATGGGAATTGCCAGCTCTGGAAGAAAAATATCCTAATGCCATCACCCCAGCTCTGGAAGAAAAATATCTCAAAGACTCCAGCTCCACTGCTGGCTTTTGTCTAACATCCAGCATGCCAAGCTGGATTTGCTAATAATAATTACTGGTGACAGCAAATACTGACAAGTGCTCAACCATTCTGCTTCAGTTTCTTCCTGTTGCTGCTTCATGGAGGTGCCCTAAAGCAAGAGTTGGCATCAGCACAGAGCACTGGAGCTGGATACAGCTTCATATTCTCTTTCATGATCTTTTTTAAAGATAGCAAGCTTGCATGTGGATTTGAAGTGCAGACCACCTACAGAACAGCCCCTGGGGCTCCATCACGTTGCCCTTCATTTCAACATCAGCACTGAACTCAGTGAAGTCACCAGCCCAATTTTTGGGCACGTGCCACGGGGCCAGTCCTGCTCTCCATGAAGTCATTATTAATTTTTACAGATTTAACTCATATTTAAAGCAAGTAGCTAACTGCCTTTGTTAACCACACCGAGATTAAACAGAGTTAATCCCTCAGTACTAGAAAGAAATACCACAATTACTTTCTAATTAATGGAGTCATATTTTAATGGCTCCATGGACTACAAATCTGAAACATGTTGCTAAGTGCAATAGGGAAAATTGCTCCCTGGTTTGGTGCCAGTGTTGCCAAGGGAGATATGCCAAGCATAAATCTGCCCTTTGTGTTTAAGAGCATGGTAGATTTAAACCTGCCCCCATGAAAACACTGATGTTATCATCCTAAAGATACATTTGAGCCACTGGGTCAACAACTTCTCAAAAGCCACTCAAGACTGTCTCAAGTAGCTGTACAATTACACAAACATGACATTATTTCCTATGTTGTGCTGTAGAGATAGCAGTTTTCTCTGTGGTGTATGTCACTGCTTTTTCTAAATAGGAAATAGATCAAGTAGCTGTACAATTACACAAACATGACATTATTTCCTATGTTGTGCTGTAGAGATAGCAGTGTTTTCTCTGTGGTGTATGTAACTGCTTTTTCTAAATAGGAAATAGAGTATTTCAAAGTTTTCCTTCGAAAATACTGAAAACACACACTGATTTTCACATTACTGTAAAGCATGTATGAGAACGAGGTGTAAAATTTTACAATAGATTAAACTTGGTTGAAAAATGGGGTTTGTATGTCATTTTATCACTGTGAAACACCACTGAAATAAAGACCTGCTGAGTAGTAAATCTGTTATTACTTTTATTGAAGATCTCAATGCTCTAATGACCATTACAAATCCTTTAGCACTGACAGAGTAATCCCAGTACACACCAGTTCTCAAACAAATTTCCAGTTACCTCCATATGCCATGTACTTTGTCACTCTTTCTCAAATAAAACTATAGCTCTTTATTCAGTTCCCTGTTCACTTAATTTTCCCTGTTATTAGAGACAGAAAACTTTCCCTAGCAGAAGGCAAGAGTAAGGAAACAAATTGAAAATGTTGTCTACACTTTCAGCTAGGAAATCATATTGGATGCTTTTCAAAGCAACTCAAGTTCTGCAGCCTCACAAAACCCTCAGTCATCTTTTTTGGTTTCAGCAGTCACCTGCATGAAATTCCCCCAAATCTCTCCACTCTGAGGGAGATTTTCATCAGTGCCCTGCTGAGTACTAGCAGTGACAGGGAACGCCTGCAAACCCAATTTCATGCCCACGAAAGAACTGCAGACAGTGCATTTTTGGGCAAGCACTGGCTGTTCATGGAGGTCAGAACCTAAAGAAACCAAATAAACCACAGACACACAGCCATGTCTGCACAGAGTTCCTCCTACCAAAGCACACCCACCTCCTGCTATAAACACCATCCCATCCTGTAGAAAAGATGGACCAGAAACTGCCTCTCAGTCAGAAGTTACATGAAAGACAATTTTCAAGGAAGAAAGTCCTTTCTGAGACATTTCTCCAAGATAAAACAGTGTGTTACTGCTTTTTCCCATGCCTGCTTCTGGCTACTAAGTGTCTAAGAAATACTTTGTGCTCTAATTTGCACAGGAAGGATAATGAAATCAGAGCCCTTGCCAGGCTGCAGGAATACAGCAGATCAATAAATCCAGTAAGGAATCACACTCTGGCACACACCAAGTGAGGTGTGTAGTGACAGGAACTCTGTCATCCACAGCCACACAAACCAGAGCTGCCCTCCTGCTCCTGGATGAAACACAACCCAAAGGGCACAAATGCCATATATTCTGTATTGTTACAGCCAAGCAAGGACACTGCCACGGCTTCAAAACAGCTTTTATCTGTCCCTAGGAAATGTTAATACAATTTGGCAGTCACGTCACATCAAAGATGAATTTGCAAAAAAAAAAAAAAAAACCATTAAAAATGTTCCCAGCTTAACAAAAAAAAGAAAAAAAAACCAAAAAAAAAAACCACATACTCTCAGACAGAGAAAAGCTGCTGAAGGCCCAAGTGATATAATGTCATTTTTAATATCAACCAGATTTTTTTTTAATTTAATGACACTTGTGAAAAGATTTCCAGTTTAAGAAGCTCATTTATGGAAGCCAAGAGCCACAAAAGCACTTTAATCCTGTCTCTGTACTGCAGGTATGTGAACATGAACACACACAACACATGTCTGTGCCACCCTGCAAATGTCACCTAGTCCATTCATTGGGCTGGGCCGTTTACACAATTTACAATTTTGATAATTTCTGCACTTGCAGTACATTTTTAAGACTGCTCCTCCTCACAGAGATCTTCCCTGATCTTCCTTGTCAGCGTGGCATTATCACCTCACTGCAGCTGCCTGTCCAACCTTGGGCTGGCACTAATGTTATTTAAACACAGGCTGTGCAATGACAGCAAACAAAGAAAAACACAAGGCAACTAGTGTAGCAGAAAAAGAGGGCTTCCACACTATTTAATAATAAATTTGCCTCACAGTGAGGGCACTGGGGCTTAGAAAATACAAGAGGTTTTATGTCCAAGAAAGCTGCATTGTATGAAATAAGGTTGAATTGAAATAGATTGTAATTAAATTAGTCCGAAAAACTGTGCAGGCACTTATCCCTTGACTTGAGCTGTTCATTGGCTTTAATTTAAACCAGTTTAATTGGTCTGCCTAAAAC